TTTGCTTATGTGGTGCTGAGGAATCGAACCCAGGGCCTCAGGCATGCAAGGCAAGCGCTCAACCACTGAGCCACCTTCCCAGCCCATGATACTCTGTTAGTGTATTTTGGAATAAATATAGCTGATGCCTAGTTAATTGTTAATAAAGAGTTGGATATGATAGCACGTGCTGAATCTCAGGTACTTGGGAATCAAAAATGGGAGGACCAAGGTTCAAGGCCAGTCTGAACAAAAGTTAGACCTTATCTCAAAAACAAGCTGGTCTTAGTGGCTTATAGGTGTTACTTCAGCTACTCAGGAGGCAGAGATGGGCTGATTGCATAGTCTATGGGTGGCCTGTGGAAAAGTGCAATACTGTTTGAAAACTAAAACACAAAAGGACTGGGGGAATGACTGAAGTGATAGAGTGCTTGCCTAGTAAGTGCCAACTCTTGAGTTTAGTCTCAAGTACTATCAAAAAGGAAAAGAAAAAATTGAACTTTTAAAAAATTTGCTGGTCTTGGGGCTTGAACTCTGGGCCTGGGCTCTGTCTTTGAGCTTCTATTGCTCAAGGCTAGCACTCTACCACTTGAGTCACAATGCTACTTTCAACTTTTTCTGAGTAGTTTATTGGACATAAGAGTCTCAGAGACTTTCCTGCCCAAGCTGGCTTTGAACTGCGATCTCCTCATAGCTCAACCTTCTGAGTAGCTAGGATTATAGGTGTGAGCAACCGGCACCTAACTTTAAAACAAACACAAAAAACAAACTTATCTAGACCTATTACAGTATCATACAAATGGAATAGGTTTTGACCACAACGGAGATCAAGTTATATGTTACTCATTTATTTTTAAAGTCTTTAAAAATACATGAATTCAAAAGGTGACGATCAAAATGTTTTACATTGATTCAGAATTTCTCAGAAATATCTGCATCTTTGGTGGTTTACTTGTTCATACATTGTTTCACATTTCAGATGCAGTCATCATTCACATCTTCAGAGCAAGAGCTAGAGCGATTAAGAAGAGAAAATAAGGATATTGAAAATGTATGTTATTTGATTATTTGGTTTGTAACCTGTAAACTTAGTAAAATGGATTCCCTAAAGATCTGTGTTTCGAGATTGTTTATCTAATGTTAGTTACACTTTTAATATATTGAATAATGTTGAATTGATATAGTTTTGTGTTTAAGTATCTTAACTTTCTTTTATAGAGAAACATAGTGAAAGAAAATCTTTAACATGGGCTGGGAAGGTGGCTCAATGGTAGAGCGCTTGCCTTGCATGCATGAGGCCCTGGGTTCAGCACCACATAAGCAAAAAGAAAAAAGCCAGAAGTGTCGCTGTGGCTCAAGTGGTAGAGTGCTAGCCTTGAGCTGAAGAGCTGAGGGACAGTGCCCAGGTCCAGAGTTCAGGCCCCACGACTGGACCTCCCCCCCCAAAAAGAAAATATTTAACATGTTAATATTTCCTTTGTTGTATTGATAGCTGAGAAGAGAACGAGAACATTTGGAAATGGAACTAGAGAAGGCAGAAATTGAACGATCTACCTATGTTTCAGAAGTCAGAGAGGTACTTAAAACCATTTTTTCATACTTGCTCCTCAGTTCAAACTAAGTTTTTAGTAGAGTGATAAAATATTTGAAGTAAGTTGTTTTTGGAAGAGCTTCCAAGTACCATACAAAAGATGGGATATCATAAGGAGATCATTCTTAAACTCTAACTTCATTGCAGCTGAAAGATCTGTTGACTGAATTGCAGAAAAAACTTGATGATTCATATTCTGAAGCAGTAAGACAGAATGAAGAGCTTAATTTGGTAAGAAGCTTGTTCTCCACTGGGTATCCATCCAGTAGGCTTTGAAAACACTGGGGTTGACATGTGGAGAAACCATCCAAACTTTTTTTCTTTGCTAACCGTCTTTAGCTTGGCATTTTTGTAAGTTTAAGATAATCTTTATATTCTAATGACTTCTAAAATGGCCTTTTTTTTCTTGACTCCTAAGGTGATTCATCTTTTCTTAGCTCTTAACAACAGCATGTTTGACTTTCAACTATTTTTCAGAGTTTTCTGCTTTTTAAATGGTCTTAATTTCTTAAACATTATTATTTTCAGTGAATAAAAAAACAAAACAATAGATTGATCCATTTATAAAGATTCTCTTCAAATTTGTGATAGTTAACTGGGCCTATTTTGTTCTAACCTGGGAGAAGATAACTGAAGGTTATAGATAACATACTCTTCATTTAAGAGCTATTAGCCACTCCAGCTTCTATTTTTTGTGTATGTGCCAGTCCTGAGCATTTTCCACTCAAGGCTAGAATTCTACAGCATGAACCACAGCTCCACTTGTGGTATTTTGGTGGTTAATTGGAGATACAGTCTCACTGACTTTCCTGCCTGGGCTGGCTTTGAACTACAGTCTTCAGATGTCAGCCTCTTGAGAAACTATGATTACAGATGTGAGCCACAAGCACCTGGCTTCAGCTTTTTAACTGTATTTTTAATTTTTAAAATTATTATTTTTGGTCAGTTGTGGGGCTTGAACTAGGCTTGGGTGCTGTCCCTCAGCTCTTCAGCTCAAGGCGAGCATTCTACCAATTGAGCTATAGCACCACTTCCAGTTTTCTGGTGGTTTATTGGAGATAAACGGACTTTCTTGCTCCAGCTGGCTTTGAACCATGATCCTCAGATCTCAGCCTCCTGACTAGGATTACAGGCATGAGCCACCAGTGCCTGGCTTTTAACTGTCTTTATATAAATTGTAAATGACAAAAATTTTGTAAAATTCTTTTTCAGCATATTGCTTAGTATATAATAATCCCCAAAGTATACAAAGAAACCTAGTTAACTAAACATTTAAAGATGTCTAGTTTTCTACATTCCAATCAGTATAAATTTCTGAAAAACTTAAGGATTGAAATGTTCCCATTTCATACAACAGTCATATCATTCCTGAAAAAATTTTTACAGCATGGATTTTGATTTCTAAAATTTCTGAACATATTTTAGGAATATTACAGCAAGCTTTTCCTTATACCACATTAATTCTATATAGTTTGAAATTGTCTCATTAGTACTCTTATGTTTACCATAGAAAATACATTAATTTGTGGTGTTTTTGTGTTTTGGCACTTGTTTGCAAGAATCAATTTTTAAAAACACTCAATCTGGGCTGGGAGGGTGGCTCAGTGGTAGAGCGCTTGCCTTGCATGCATGAGGCCCTGGGTTCGATTCCTCAGCACCACATAAGCAAAAAGAAAAAAGCCGGAAGTGGTGCTGTGGCTCAAGTGGTAGGGTGCTGGCCTTGAGCTGAAGAGCTGAGGGACAGCGCCCAGGCCCAGAGCTCAGGCCCACGACTGATGAAAAAAAAAAAAAAAAAAAAACACTCAATCTACATATGTATTTATACACACTTAAAAAATTCTTTACCAGTGCTTCAAATGAACATACTCCCATTGTAACATAAGAGTAGTTTCTTTGTTTTTTTGTTTCTGTCAGTCATGGGGCTTGAACTCAGGTCCTGGGAACTGTCCTTAAGCTCTTTTGCTCTAGGCCAGTGCTTTACTACTTTGAGCCACAGTGCCACTTTTCAGTTTTTGAGTAGTTAATTAGAGATAAGAATCTCATGGGGACTTTTCTGCCTGGGCTGGCTTCAAACCGCCATCCTCAGATCTCAGTCTTCTGAATAGCTAGGGTTAGAGACATGAGCCACTTATGCCCAGCTGTAAGACTAGTTTTATGAACATGCTTGCTATACACTGAGTAGACTGGGACTGTGATATGCTATAGTCCTTACCCTGTAGTTTTTTTTCTTTTCTTTTCTTGAGAGACAAGTTCTTATCATATGCCAGGCTGCCCTTCAATTCACAATTTTTTCCTTATACTGGGATTACAGATATGTGCCACCATGCCCAGCTTTAAAAAAAATAACTTCTAGCTAGTTGTTGGAAGTTTTTTTTTTTTTTAATTTGGCTGCTCAGAGGTAGACTGAACAGTTTCACCAAACCTGTAAAATTGTAGTTACCTCTCCATTTAGCACAAATTCAAGATGTTCTTGAATTCTGGCTCCTTTATTTTTGTCTAGAGATGTGTGTGCACATGTGCCATGTGGGCCAGTACTGGAGCCTAAACTCTGGACTTGTGCCCTTGTTTTTTTTTTTTTTTTTCTACTCAATGTCAGCACTTTACCACTTGAGCCACATACCTCTACCTCCACTCCATTTTAATGAATATATCTTTTTCTCCCTTAGTCTTGAATTTGTGATTGTTATTTTATGTTGTTTGCCTGTACATTGTGTGTTCTTTGGGTAAACTTGAGTTAGCTAAAGAAGCAAAAACTATTTAAGAATAGTTTCCAGGGCTAGGAAGGTGGCTTAGTGGTAGACTGCTTGCCTAGCATGCTTAAAGCCTTGTGTTCAATTCCTCAATTCCACCTAAATAGAAAAAGCTGAAAGTGGTGCTATGGTTCAAGTGGTAAGAGTGCTAGCCTTGAGCAAAAGAAGCTCAGGGACAGTACCTAGGCTCTGAGATCAAGCCCCAGAACTGGCCAAAAAAAAAAGTAAAAAAAGAATAGCTCCTAAATAAAATTTCCAAATATGGATTCCCCACTCTCCTCCTGCCTCTATGAGTTCTCTGTCAGATTTTAAATGTCAGTGTCTCATGTTTTTCCCCTTTTAAGGCTCAAAAAGTGTTTGGGAACTCATGTCTGAGTGAGAGAAATAAACAACAAAAACTTGATGAATTAGTAAAAGACTTGTGGGCAACATAATCTTTCTTATATTTCCTTGAAACAGTTGTCAGAAAAAGGCCTTATATATCAGCACTAAGTTTTTGTAACTGTTTTAATAATTAGTTGGTTGTTTTGAGAAGTATATATCAAGCCCTTTTCTTATTAGTGTAATTTAGGCCAGTGGTCATGCACTGCTCTCTTTAGTGAAGTCATCACAGACTGGTAAAGTTTAAATTGTTCCTTTTACTGGATTTATAATTGTCTTTTCATTGTCTTTTAAAGTATTACGTAGTTGACACTTTAATTGAACTGTATAGATTAAGAAAGACTTCAATTTGGTAGAATTTGTATTTATTTCTTACTTTGGGATTTGGTAGCACATTATGGATAGTGATTCTTAAAAAGTAATTTAGAGTTTGGTGGCTTTGTTTTTGCAATTGCAGTTTCCTACTCTTAAGCTCTGGTTCATATCATATCTATCTTTTTATGTTTAGCTCTACAGATGGGAACTTCCATTGCATAGCTTTTCTGTACATCTGGTATAACATTGGGTAATTCCACTGTGCATAATAACTGTTAGTTATTCTATTCTTTCATATTCACTTTTCAGTCCTAGAGATATCAGTATAATCAAAGAAAGTTGAAAATTAATTGTGCTGCTGCTTTATTTTTACAGCTGAAGACACAGTTAAATGAAACACATTCAAAACTTAGAACTGAACAAAGTGAAAGACAGAGGGTAGCTGGTGATTTACATAAGGTAAGGCACTTTTACCTGGAGAAACAATATTCTGAGCCAATATTGTGACTTGTGTCTTAAGCAAACACCTGTTAATTTTTGTCTGTTAATTTTTTATTGTAAAGATACTGTACAAAGGGGTTACAGTTACATGAGTAAATTCTTGTGTTGCTCTTCATTCATAAAAATTTGTTTAGATTCAGTTGCTTTTTGTTTAGATTCAGTAACTTTCTAGGAGTTATATTTTGACTTACTTCTCCATTCTTAATTTACTTCATTTCATCACATTTATGCAGTTATTGTGTAAAATGTATAAATTTTTTTAATTTAATTAGAGTTATTTAAATTTGAATATATTCATGTTTTTAAAAATTGGAATTCAACTATGGAATCATTTACAAAGTATGTTCTATATTGATACTTACAGGTAAAACTGAAGTGTAAATTTCTGGTGTTTTGATAAGTTTTTTCCTTTTTTATACAAATGTATTTTTAAAATATATACTAGTGGATTGTTTTTAGAATTATATTTCCTCTTTGCATTAGGTTAATAGGTTTTTTTGTAGTTCTTGTTGTGTTTATGAAGTCTCATTAAAATAATTACGTGGCCTTGAGATATGTACATCTTAACACTTGAAAGTTATAAACGAATCCTCACTATCCATTAGTCATTCCTAGCATGGTCTGAGAATACCTGTTTTCTTGTACTTCTATAAAACTGGATAGTGTAAAACATTTTAAGTATTTATTATTCTAGCTAATTAAAGTATTTGATTTTTTAAAGTATCCTTTAAAATATGAGAAAAATTTCTATTCTATTTGTTCATATTTTGTGATTGTCATATACAAAAGCGTAGGGTTCCCAAACAGCTTCACATTATTTAAGTGCAGGTTAATGGTGCTGAGTGTGGGAGGACCACCTGTGACACCAGCTAAATAGGCAGAATAAGGGTATGACAAGAGCCTGGCCCTAGGAACAAAACCTGAGACTGAGTGTGAAAAATAGCTAAAACCAAAAAAGGACTGTGGGCATGCCTCAAAACCTGGGTACTGCCTTCCACCACCCAAAAAACAGATGCATGAACTTAAAGTATTTGTTTTAGAGCACCAACTTTGATATTTGATATACTGAGAATTTTAACTTAGACATTTTATATGTCATTCTAATTTTTTACCTCTGGCTTAAAATAGAAACTATGAAGGTACTATGAAAGTACTTTAAGGTAATAAACAGATGCTGAAGGGTATAGATAGGTCATGTTATGTAAGGTAGGCATCAGTCACCTGCTTCTGCAATATGACTACTGTGCAGTTGTCAGTTGGATATGAAAATAAATATGTATTGACCAAATGAACAAAATACTTAATAAAGCAACAAGTATAAAATATGTATGTTTAAAGGCCATGGATAAAAATTTCAGCAGTTTTCTCAGAGCACTTAAGCACAGAGGGATTTAGATTTAGATTTTTTTTGGGGGGGGTCAGTCGTGGGGCTTGAACTCTGGGCATGGGTGCTGTCCCTCAGCTCTTCAGCTCAAGGCAAGCACTCTACCGCTTGAGCCACAGCGCCACTCCCAGTTTTCTAGTGGTTTGATGGAGTTTCCTGTCAGGGCTGGCTTGGAACCACCATCTACAGATCTCAGTCTCTGAGTAGCCAAGATCACTTTTGTCCATTTCAGGCCACTCTGAATATGAAGCTAATCCACAGGACGTCCACAGGACGTAGACAGATGAAGTAAAATCATACGTGTGATTAGAGATTTATAGGAGATAAGAGTCTCTCGGACTTTCCTGCCTGGGCTGGCTTTGAACTTCGATCCTCAGTTCTCAGCCTCCTGAGTAGCTAGTAGCCACTGGCACCCGAGAGGATTTAGATTTTAAATCAGCAAATGCATAGGCTATTTTAGGATTTGTTGTTGCATATGATGTCTCTCAAATATTCGTATTTCTTTTTTTTTTTGCATTTCTTTTTAAGCAATGTTTTGAAATTAAAATGCATAACCACTCTTAGTTATGAGCTGTACAAACACAGTTTTGTGTTTTCTTAGAAAGGGGGTGGTTGGTGTAGCATGGGGATGCCATACTAGATTTGAACTCATTATGTAGTCCTGGCTGCCTGAGATTGCCTATGCTGTTTCTGCTCTCTTGAGTACTGGGATTTACTGGTGAATGACACCCAGCTTTGTGTTTCAACTTGTGGAACAATGAGCATGTTTTCTTATAATCTGGTGGTAAAGTATATGTATTTTCATTTTGCTTGTAAAATTTTACATTGTAAGTTTGGAAGAGCTTTAATTTCTTACAAAATATATAACAAAATCACTCATTCTGTATGTATTTACTTATTAGTGGTTGTGTTGTTTTTCTTATAGGCTCAACAGTCTCTAGATCTTATCCAGTCAAAAATAGAAAAAGCTGCTGGAGACACTACTGTTATTAATAATAGTGATGTTCCCCCAGATTCGGTACGTGTTTTCTTTACCTCCAAATATTTGTGCTAATTACCTTGTATAAAACTCCTTGAAGAATAAGCAGTGAAAGAGTGTGACTAGGAAAATATGCTTGCATCAGTTACGTGATACTTTTTGTTGTGGTTATTTGCTTTTTTCGCAGTTAGGAATGGAAACCAGGTCTAAATCATGTCAGGCAAGCACTGTGTGCTATTCCACCCAGCCCCCTAATTGAAAATCATCTTTTCAAAATAGCCGGTGTCTTAAGTGCACTATTTTTATTATGTCTGTTTTTAGATGGAATTTGTGAGATTCTATTTTAACTTTTTTTTTTTTTTTTTGGGTCCTGTCATAGAGCCTGAACTCTGGGCCTGGGCGCTGTCCCTCACCTCTTCAGCTCAAGGCTAGCGCTCTACCACTTGAGCTACAGCACCACTTCCGGCTTTTTTCTTTTTGCTTATGTGGTGCTAAGGAATCGAACCCAGGGCCTCAGGCATGCAAGGCAAGCGCTCTACCACTGAGCCACCTTCCTAGCCCCCTCTATGTTAATTTTAAGGTATTTCTGGAGAGGTATTATGGTATAATGCTTAAGAGTGTAGGCCATATACAGTTCCTTAGTACTCAAAAGATGTATAGAAAGGCCATGTTATTTATAATTGCTGAAATGGCACTGTTAGGCATCTTTCATCTGGCTCTACAGTAGAAATAGTGTGGAACACTCAAATGAAATGTGTGTTGGTATTGTTGGTGGTGAACGTTTAAATGTTGTCCTTGTCTTAGTCACATGTGATTTGTAGCAAATCCTTCAGTCACCAAATTTAGCTGCCTCATCTATAAAAGGCAGTACTAACAGGACATATTTTATAGGGTTGTTGGAAGAAATAAAATGAGTGAATATCTAAAATACCTTAACTAGAGGATAGAGCTCAATATATGATAACTGTGACTTCTTACTGTTTATGCATGTTGTTTCCATTTATTTCTGATATTCATAAAATCTAGTTTTTCCTTGGTAGCCAAGTGGCATTTCCTGCAATGTACATTTTCTTTGGTGCTAGTTACTTTTTATCAATATTTAGCAAACATTTTTCTGTAGTTTTTTTCTGTTATGTCATATTTCAGATTTTTCATATTTGTATTTGAAACAAAAGTATTTTCTGTTTTTGGTTGCATACTCTTTTTTTTTTCTTCTCTTTGGAGGTATTTAAAGAAAAGTTTTAAGTTTTAATCACTTCTATCTTTTTTTCAGGAGTCTTCTGAGAAGGAAACAATGTTTTTAAGTCTTAATCAAACTCTAACACAGTTACGGCAGTTGCTTCAGAAAGTAAACCAACAGCTCATAAAAGAGGAATAACAACATTTACCAAGTCTTGGGTAAGAACAACTGGAATATTGCTATTTATGGCTAATTGACTTAGGGAAGGAGGAAGGATGTGCCTGTAATGTACACAGGCACGGTGTAGGAATCTCTCATTCTTTATTCTTAGAACTTTGAGATGACAGCTTTTACTTTTCTATCTTGCCTATAATTTGAAGGTCTTCTAATGTGGAAGTGGAAAGCTTTTCTCTGCCTACTTTGACTTTTTTAAAATCATGCCTTGTTATGATTTGGCTACTTGGTTTGTCCATTATTACTATGCTGAAAATTATTTTGTCATTTTATTCTGATGTTAGGTCAGTGCATGTGTTTGTATGGTATTTCCTCCTTTCCCTATCTTTAGGACTTGGTAATAAATAAAGTGACCATATCATTTTTAACTGATACAGGATTGCAGAACTGAAAATGAAGTTACTACAGTTTTTTAAAGTATGATAAAGAATGCACAGCATTTATTACATCTCTAAGGCAAGGGAATATTAATATTTCTTTAAAGAAAGCTGTATTTTGTTGTGGTTCTGTCTGGTTTTGAGACTAGGTACTGCTATGCAGCTCAGGCTGGTGATCTTACTTTAGCCTCCTCAGTGCTAGAATCATAGGTGTAAGACTGGAAACTCTGTTTTTCATAATCTAAGCATTCCTCACTCTCTGGCTTGACTTTGCTGCTCAAGTCCTTCACCCTGCCACTTGAGCCATCCTTCCTCTTTCAGCTTTTTTGCTGGATTTGTCTAACTGGGGTAGTTTGAACTAGAATCCTAAGATCTCAGCCTCTTAATGAGAATGAGCCTGACTAAGAATTCCATTCTTTGATGTTGAAATGAATGTTTTAAATGAGGATAAATAAATCCATTATTAACTAAAGTATATTATAAACTTGGATTGTCTATGTTATCTTGAAAAGCCTAGCTTTATTAGCATTTTAAGCTGACTTAGTAAAAATATTTAAATGTTGCTGGCATCACTCATGTAGAGAACCTGCCTAGCAAATCCCCCCCCCCAAAAAAAAAAGGGACTTGTTGTATTGTAGGTTGTAAATGCAGATTTTTATTGTTGTTGTCTGGGTTTTATGGTCTCTGAATGAATTATATCATACTACCAATGGTACAATATTCAAATACAGACTTAGACTAAGTATTTCAGATAATCTTTTTCCTTAGCACTGAAGGTTTTTTTTTAAATTGCTCTCTCTCTCTCTCTTTCTCTTTCTCTTTCTCTTTCTCTTTCTCTTTCTCTCTCTCTTTTTGGTGCTGATCTTGAGGCTTGAACTCAGGGTCTGAGAGCTGTCCCTAAAGCAAAAGTCCTTGCTTTGTGTTCATGGATAGGCTAGTGCTCTACTACTTGAGCTTCAATGCTATTTCTAGCTTTTTCTGAGTAGTTTTATTGGAGATTAGATTCTCACAGGCTTTCCTGCCAGAGATGGCTTTAAACTACACCTCAGATCTCAGTTTCCTGAGTAGAGCTAGGATTACAGGTATGAGCTACCTGGTGCCTGGCTTCACATGTTAAAATATATATCTAAAACCTCTTTTTGAATCCTGCAGGAATGTTCTTGTTTTGATGAACAAAGTATGAATTGTTTTAAGCCTCACTGAAAGTGTCATGCCAGATCAAATGGAGTATTTACAAGAAAAATATATTCTGATTGCCTTTCTTGCTTTATTTTAAAAATAATTTTATGATTTTTTTTCTTACAGAGTGAAGTTATTTGAAAACTGTTCAAGGATAACTGAAGGCATTGTATTATATTTTGCCAAATTAAAGCCTTATTTATGTTTTCACCCTTTCTACTTTGTCAGAAACACTGAACAGATTTTGTCTTTTCTAATCCTTGTTAGACTACTGATTTAAAGAGGAAAAAAAAACCTAAAAAAAAGTCAACTCTGTAGACACCTTCAGAGTTTAGTTTTATAATAAAACTGTTTGAATAATTAGACCTTTACATTCCTAAAGAAAAATAAACATGTAAACTTTACATTATTTTACTCAATGAAATTGTTGAGAAGATCAAAGTGGTCAAAACAACATAAAATTTAACATTTTAATACTGATATTGTACACTGTTTTACTTAATACTTTGGGTAGTAACTGCCTCCGACATCAAGGAAAACACTTTTGTTGCTAATGAAATCAGTTTTTGTAATGGCAGTCAACAAATAAAGGGACACTTATTATTCAAACTTGACTTCTAATTTTCATTGAAGTTTAACAGATTTCATTAGCACTACAGATCAGCACAACTGAACACAATTATTAGTTGCAACCGTTGAACAAGGTAAGGAGGTCTTGTTGCTTATATAAACCTTGCTGATTGGAGCTTTGGGTCTTCTCTAATTGTCTTCTCAGTTTTGCCCCAGTGTGCTGTGGATTACAGAAAGGATAAGGCAGGAACTTAGGGGCTGACTTACCACTCCACTTCTGAGAGAGGAGCTGTATTTTATTTTTACTATTACTAATGATTTTTAAAATAATAAAATTAATTTTTGAGATTCCTCTTTTCAGGCACTGCATTAAACAGTTTATATGCTACCTTTTTATTTTAAAAAAAACTTAAAAAATAGCTGGATAGTCAGTATTGGCACGTAACTATAATCAGCAATTCAGGAGATGGATTTAGGATAATTATGCTTTGAGGCCAGCTCAAGCAGAAAGTTAGACTAACCCTATTTCAGTCAATAAGCTGTGTGTAGTGGGGTACCTTTGTGTTGCCAGATACCACCCAGACTAATAGGTTGGAATACTAGCCAGCCCAGGGCTATCTGAAATAAACTAAAAACAAAAACAACTAAAGATGTAGCTCAAGTGGTAGAATGCTTGTCTAGTAGGCATAAGACTTTAAGTTCAAATTCTATAGTAAGCCGGGGCTCTGGTGGTTTATGCCTGTAATCCTAGCTACTCAGGAGGCTGTGATCTGAGGATCACGGTTCAAAGCCAGCCTGGGCAGGAAACTCTGAAACTCTTCTCTCCAGTAAACCACCAGAAAACTGGAGGTGGCGCTATAGCTCAAGTGGTAGAGCACTAGCCTTGAGCTGAAGAGCTGAGGGACAGCGCTCAGGCCCAGAGTTCAAGCCTCATGACTGACCAAAAAAAAAAAAAATCTATAGTAACACCAATGATTGGGGCAGAAAAGTTAAAAAATGTTTTGAAAGCCTTGCTCTCTTTAGGTGTCAATTCCATTGACAGTTATACGATGGAGTATTAATAGCTACCTTTTTGAGCCTAGCACAGTGGCTCCTTGGGAGGCCAGTATCAGGAGGATCAGTGTTCAGAACCAGCCAGGGCAAAATGTTGCAAGGCCCCATCTCAGTAAGTTGGTGTGCTTGTCTGTCATCCTAACTTCAAGGGATGGTGGTATGAGGATTGTGGTCCAGGACAGCCTGGGCAAAAACTGAGACACCCTATGCAAACAGCAGTCAAAACAAAACAAGAAGGGTGGGACTCAAGTGGTAGGGTGCCTGCCTTGTAAACTAGGAAACCTTAATTTCAAACCCCGGCAACCCACCCATGCCCCCGTAAAAGAAGGTTCTTTTTAAAGTGTTTCTTGAACAGAGCAGTCATGCTTCTCCCACATGACTGTAGCACTGTCTCTTTTAAATGTCAGTTTGGGCCTGCTCCTTCACCATCTTGCCATCTACCTTAATGGCATTTTTTGGTGAGATCTTTGCTGACAATATTATCTCCCTGGTTCTTGTAATTTTGCTTAATTTTGTCTGTAACACAGCTTTCTACTTGATTGCTTCCCAACCCAAGTGGTACCTCCTAACCTTTTCTCCTTGCAGTGCATACTAAATACTGTTTTTAAAGTATGCATCGATAACCTGTTTGTAGTCAAGTTATGCACTGGCTTGTAGATTTAAGCTGTGTCAGCCTTAACTTGCTGCTTGTAGCAAGCCATCTGAACTGTAAGCTAGGTGGATTTCTCCATTCTTTCTCTTCTCCCTGTGTAAGAGTTCATGTCTGCCACCTGAAATCTTCTTGATATTTCCTCATGCAAGTTAAGCTGGGTGCTGGTAACTCATGCCTATAATCATAGCTGCCCAGGAAGCTGAGAACTGAGGTTTGAAGCCAGTCCAGACAGACAAATCCAGAGACTCCTATATCCAATTACCAGTGAAATGCCAGAAGTGGAGATCCTGTGGTAAGAATGGCAGCCTTGAGTGAAAAAGCTAGTAAGCAAAAGTATAAGGCTCTGAGTTCAAGCCGCAGTACTAGCAAAAGCAAAAACAAAAAGTTAATTTCAAGCTTTTTTCCACTTTGGTGAATTTCTTTATTACCATCCCTATCCCCCATCAGTCTAAATATGTATTAATGTGCTTTTCCATTTGATTAGTGTTATAATTTTTATGTCACTGAAGAAAAATTAATTAGAATAAGATGAGACAAGCAAACGTTTTCCTCACTTTTTTCTTTTTCTTTTTTGTTGGTCATGGGGCTTGAACTCTGGGCCTGGGCACTATCCCTGAGCTCTTCAGCTCAAGGCTAGCATTCTACCACTTGAGCCACAGCACCACTTCCAATTTTCTGAGTGGGCTATTGGAGATGAGTCTCATGGACTTTCCTGCCTGGGCTGGCTTTGAACCATGATCCTTAGATCTCAGCTTCCTGAGTATGTAGGATTACAGGTGTGAGCCACCAGCGCCTGGCTTCCTCACTTTTGATACCAGTTATGTAGTACATTGTGTATACATTGTGTATCAGTGTGAGGACTATAAAGTCCAGAGAAAAGGTTCTTACTCTTGACCTTAATGTTAAGGTACAATATATATACAATGTGGTCTTCTGTAGAACAGCTAAGCATATCTTAGAGGAAGCAAAACTGATCTTGATAACTTTCTGTTCTGAATAAACTAGTGTCTTGTTTATTAAACCTACCCTTCATAAATACAAAACTTGCTTTTATGTGATGAACACCTGGTTTTAATATCACAAGTAACCTTGTTAGACAACTGGCTCTATCACTGCTCTGCTCTCAGAACAACTTAGAACTCAAGCAGGACTTAGAATACACACTTAGAATGTATCATTCAACTTTTCACCAAATGGGCCTATAGAACATAATTATTTGGGAACATTTTATTCATATGGCAGAAATAATGGTGGTCATAATTATAAATATGGAGTGCTCCTTCAGGTACCATGCTAAATGTATTAAATGCAAGGTTTTTGAAAGTTATCTCCAAGGTACTCTTTGAACACATTTTTTGGAGTCTATATAGAGCAAAGTGCCTAAGTTGAATATTTGGTAGTAACTTATTTTAACTATATATTGCATTATATGCATACTGTATACTACAATTGGCTTATGCACTCAACTGTGGATTAATATCTGAGTTGTTTGCAGTTTTTGACTATTACAAATAAAGCTGATATATTTGTGTGCAAGACTTGTGCATAATTCTAAAATATCAAACATAGTTAAATATTAGAAGGTGACCATCAGCTCACAAATCATCCATTAAACAGAACTACTCCCACAGTTAAGACACAGATCTGAAGGAGTCTGGGTTAATCATTTGGCTCCTTACATTGCCCATCATCATGCCTTTTGGAAGTCATTCTGTGACTCATGCTCTAGCTCCCTCCTGCCAATTCATCTAGGTCTAGAGCTGAGCCATCTTCCCATTGATATTCTCTGAGACCTTTGCTTTTGTTGCTGCATTACTAATAGCAATAGCATTTGTTGAGGTGTCTAGGCTAGCTCCTCCTCCTGTTCTATCTTTGCCCAGTATCATCTTTTCAGCAGGTCCACCAAGCCAATAAAGTTTCTCCCTACCTAATATGGCGGCTCTCAAAGTACTCAGGTAAACAAGTGTCTGGGACATAAGCTTACATTGTTTGTTAATAAAATGTAGTAAGCCTGTGGGGATAAGAACTGTCTGCAGTCATGATCTGCAAGCTTTGGGCCAGCTGACAATTTCCAAAACATCTTTTCCAAAGTTACGGAGCCCTTGCTGGAGGCCAGGAGGAAACTCAGTCCCTGAAGGCCAAGCTTTCAACCTGAAATTTAAAAAAGCATATTCAATACTTTTGGGATATGTTTTTTCTTCCTTCCTAAGTTCCCACTAAAATGTAAAGGAACTATAAAAGGCCATATATTTACCATTTTCAAGCGAATGTGAGTTGAGAAAGAGTATCACCCACACACCTGCACTACAAGCAATCTTAAAAGGTCATTCCCTCTAGCTGAAAGTTAATGACAGGGTGAAAATGAGTAGGAAGATACTGAGAATTCTGTGCATAAATATGAAAGGGGGGAGTGCAGTAATTCATGACATAGGGTACTACTGTGTTAATTTCAAATAGACTGATAGGTCAAGGAGGCATATTGTAAAACCTCTTGAGGAGGTGAGAACCTTTTTTCTGCCAAGGGCCATTTAGATACAACATCAAGGATCATACACAATTATCAGTACAGGCAGGCAGCGTCCAGCAGCTGGTGGAAAGCATATGTCTGTTTTGTTGTTTATCAGATGATTGGCCAGATTCCTTACCCCTTCCAGAGCACTACCTGAAAATAAAACCAAGAAACATAGCTAAAAAGACAAAAAAAAGGAATAAAATATAATACTAAATTAGATTTGATTAATTTACCAACAGAAGTGGGGAGAAAAGAGTGAAAAACAAAAATGGTCATGAAGAGTAGATAATTGCCTTCCTCCAAATAACTACATATCTGGTCAGATCATTTGATCTTGTAGGATATATTCACACAAGTATATGTAGATATGTTTTAATTAACACATAAACATGTGCATAGCACTGTTTTAAGATGGGACAACAGACCATGGGACTGGTAAGTGAGAAAAGGAAGACAACCAAGATGAGCTCCCTCATCGTTCCAAATCTCTGCCTCACAGCTGGACACCATCCACATCCTCAGCTCCATAGTACAGAGTTTTCTGGAAATGGCCAGCAAGTTCACTAGCCTCATAAACCACTGTCCTTAGTCAACACCCCAAATTGATGGCTCCTCTGTGTCAGTTTTATTGCTGGTTAGCTCCAAACCTATGTCTCTCTGTTCGTTTTTTTTTCTTTCTTTTGTCTTTTTTGCTCTAAAATAGAGCCGGACCCTTTAAACACATCCCCTCCACACTGGCGCAGGCTTAAGCTGTGTCACTAGAATGGATGGAGGGACATGGCAGGGGAGCAACTTTTCTTTGTTGTTTCCACCCATTTTCTT